TTATATATAATTAAGTATTTAAGATACTTATTTAAATTTTAAATACCTATTTTCCGATACCATATCAAAATAAATATGAAATTTAATATTTGAAGTATATATTTATGTTTCATATAATTATATTGTATATTAGTTTGGATATTCGGATCGGTTTCTTCGTATATATTTTTGGGTTTTTTTCCGGTTTTTTCGGGTTACCTATTCGGGTTCGGATATGTTTCATACCACCTTACAAGATTCATTCGGTATTTTTTATATTTCGGACCGGGTTCGGATCGGATTTTTTGGTTCGGGTTCGGTTCGGATTTTGGGTTACGGATTTTATGCCCATGCCTATCTATATCCCACAATTCAAGTTTAATCTACTTAGTGTCAGTTGCCTCACTAAGAGTATGGGATGTCGAGTCTGGTTTGTTTCACGACATGTAGTGTTTCATGAAGAGCTCTTTCCATTTGCACAACATGATCTTTCTTCTTCTAAAACATCAAACCATGATGAATCTACTTCTCTAGATTCATCATCTGTAGATTCTCATACCATAGATGTCCCTAAATATTCTATTCATACATCGCATAGGAGAGTCAGAAAGCCTGCTTATCTCAAGAATTATTAGTGTCATTCAGTAACTTCCTCAACCATTCATCAAATTTCTGAATTCGTATCATATGATAAACTCTCTCCTTCGTATCTTTCTTTTCTTGTTTCTATTGATACAGAACTTGAACCCAAAACCTATACTAAGATATAGAAACATCGGGGGTGGCGTGAAGCTGCAACAACTAAATTTGATGCTTTGTAAGGTACTCGTACTTCGGTCGTTTGTTCTTACCTCCCAACAAGAAAGCTATCGATTGTAAATGAATTTTCAAAATCAAATAAAACGCCGATGGCACAGTGGAACTCTATAAAGCGCGTCTGGTTGCAAAAGGCTACACAAAACAGGAGGGTATTGACTACACTGAGACTTTCTCACCCGTTGCTAAACTAAATTATGTCAAGCTCCTACTCAGTCTTGCTGCTATTTTTGGCTGTTCCCTTGCACAACTTGATATATCTAATGCCTTCCTCGATGGTGATCTAGATGAAGAAATATATATGAAACTTCCACCAGGCTATTCGTCCAAACATGAGGATTTACCTCCAAATGCAGTCTGTAAACTTGAGAAGTCCATCTATGGCCTTAAGCAGGCTTCTTGTCAATGGTTTCTCAAGTTCCAATCTACTCTTCTTGGTTTGGGTTTCAATCATCTTTATTTTGATTATGCTTGTTTTCTTAAACACATTGATGATGCTTTTCTATGCTTCTTGGTTTATGTTGATGGCATCATCATTGCCAGCAACAATGACTCTCTTGTCAATGCTATGAAGCTTCAACTACAAGCTCACTTCAGACTTTGTGATCTCGGTCCTCTCAAGTACTTTCGTGGACTCGAGACTTCTCAAAGCTCTGAAGGAATATCTGTTTCACAGAGAAAATATGCACTTGATCTCTTGGATGAAACATGTGTTCTTGGTTGTAAGCCATCTTATGTTCCTCTTGATCCTCATCTCAAGCTTTCTACAGAGACTGGTGGTGATTTGGTTGATCCTAAAACTTATAGACGTTTGATTGGTAAGTTGATGTATCTTCAGATTACTCGACCAGATATCACTTTCGTTGTCAACAAACTAAGTCAATTCAGCTCTGCTCCTTGCTGAGAACATCATCAGGCTCTTATCAAAGTTCTTCACTACATTAAAGGAACTTTTGGTCAGGGTTTGTTGTATTCTTCTTTGGCTGAGCGTCAATTGCATGTCTTTGCTGATGCTGATTGGGGTTCTTGTATTGACACAAGAAGGTCCACGTCTGGATACTGTATATTCTTGGGTTCTTCGCTTATTAATTGTCGTTCCAAGAAACAAGATACAGTTTCCAAGTCCACGTCTGAAGTAGCGTATCGGAGTATAGCAGCCGTTGTTGATGAGTTGTTTTGGCTTACCAATTTCTTGAAAGAGTTTCATATTCCTTTGACAAAGTCAACTCTCATGTTCTGTGATAATACAACTACTATTCACTTTGCTCATAACTCTGTATTTCACGAGTGTACCAAACAGATAGAGATGGATTGTCATCATGTTCGAGAGAAGCTGGTTGCAGGTTTATTCAAACTCTTTCATGTTGTTGTCACTTTTACTGATCATCAGGTTGCTGTCATTTTTACTCAACCACTTCATCCTGTTCCTTTTCGTCATTTGGTTAGCAAGATGAGTCTTGTAAATATATTTGTCTCATCTTGAGGGGGACTATTAACATTGGTTTGTCGGATATACATTGTAATCTGGTATATTATAAACCAGTGTATATAACTTTGGTTTGGCTATGGTTTAGGCCACTTTATATTTATATATAAACCCATATGTAAATACTTTCATAATTAGTTTGAATGAGATAATCTCCTATATATTAAAAAAAAACATTACAACCTTTGAACTATAACACGTGTCACCACCAAAATGATTATTAGAATCACTAGAGAATTAAGTTGGTCCATTTAAACATATACTGTACTTTTTATTAAGATAACCACAAATCAATTATTCTGTAAAAAATAATATATTCTTTATTTCCATAAACATAGATACAAAATTACCAAATATGATCACAGTATATATTGTAATTAATGATTGTGAATAATAGAAGATCTTGTAACAATCTTTCATCATTTTGTCTAATTTTACATTATTAAAAATCATTCCCCATATAATAAAAATTTATATTTTCCGGATATGTTATATTTTAATTTTTTAAAAAAAAAAAATAAATTACTAAAATTGTTAAAAGTTCATCATTTTGTCTAATTTTATATTATTAAAGTAAACCAAAAATCATATTCATCATATAATAAAAAATTATATTTTTCTGGGTATGTTATATTTAAATTTTTTTTAAACAATTTTAAATTACTAAAATTTTTAAAAGTTCAACATGAACATTTTTCTAATCAATAGTTTAATTTTTTTGTTATAACAAGATAAAAATTATAATAAAAATATGCATAGTAAATTTTCATTTAATAGATATTCATATTAAAAGTATATATATTTTGATACTGTTTAAATTAACTATATACCATATAAAATAAATATTTTAGTTCTTAAATTTGTATTGAATGAATATTAAGAACTTAAAATTTTAATTTTTTTTTTTGACATCAAAATTACAGACTCATATAGACTCTGTAAACCAAACCGGTAGCTCTGTATCCATGTGAACAACAAAATGCGGTTGTATCCTGGCTCTCCTTGCTAGGCTATCCGCATGGGAGTTCATCGATCTTTGTACATGAATTAACGTCCAGCAACTGAAACTCTTCTTCAGTGTCATGATGTCCTGGAGGTAACTTGCAAACACTGGCCATTCTTCTGGTTCCGAAACCATCTTCACCAATTGAGAACAATCCGTTGCAAAAGTAACACAATATTGACGTAAATTTCGCATACTCTCCATAGCCCAAATGAGTGCTTCCACCTCCAAATGGAGAGATGATAAACTGGCCCTCACATTTCGAGCACCTCGTAAACCTTCAAATCCCTCCAACGTACTATACCATCCATGACCGTCGAAATGATCATTTTCTTTCCAAGAACCATCTACAAAACACCATCTTCCTGAAAAAACTGGTAAAGTGGCCTCAGTCTGTTGCGGATCAACCCTCTCCTCTAACCTTGTATGTGCCTCCTTCCACAGAATCGATTCTGTTTCTGCTAGCGTAAGTGTATCCTTCGGCTCAATATCCAAATTACTGAAAATTTTGCTATTCCGCGCTTTCCAAATATACCACAATATCCATGCGAACTGGTGATCATCCAACTGAGGGTAGACCCTCCAGAATAAAAAATCCATATTCGAGAACAACGAACTCATAGGGAAAATGTTGGGATTGAAAGGAATTTTCGAAAGAGCCCAAACTTGTCGTGCTGGAGAGAGCATTCGAAGAACACGTGATTTATTGTCTCCTCATCCGCACCACATCTGTCACATCCTAAATATCCTTTAATTCCTCTCGTCTGTAGGTTTTTACGAACTGCGATGCAACCCGATAATAATTGCCACAAGAAGTGCTTCATTTTAGGAGGACATGTCAGTTTCCAACAATAAGCCTTCAAATCCACTGTAGGTCCATAAAATTCCTTTGGTCGACCGTTGTCCGGATAGACTCTTTCAACCTGATAGCCCGACTGAACCGTATATTTTCCATTTTTAGTAAAATGCCAGCCATTCGTATCCACCAATTGTGTCCTGCCTAAAGGAATGCTCTCAATTATTTTCACATCTTGCGGATCCACAAGAGCCCGAATAAGTGGCCTTAAAATTTTAATTTTTCAAGTTGAATTGGATATTTAAATACAATTATAAATTACTAAAATTATTAAAATTTCTGCATTGAAATTTTGTTATTAAAAAAAATTATAAAATCATATGAGTACGAAATCTTATTTAATAGATAATCATATGAAAAAATTACTATATGCAGGTTAATTTCATTTAAATTTAATTATATACCATAAATAGGTATGTATAATTATTTTGATTTATCTATTATTAAATGATTGCAAATAAAAAAGAATGATTATTTTATATATTAGTACGCATCAATTTAATTATATATGTAATAGTTATTTGCTTCTCAATTTTTTTATTACTGTGCTTCTCAATTATTCAATATTTGTTAATAACTAATATTATTATGATTTATAATATGTAAAAATGTAAAATAAAAATAGTATATGTAAAATAAACTTGTATGCAATGCTCATCATGCGTCTTAACCTAGTTAAGTTAGAACAACTGTTGTAAGCTGTAACCAATTTAAAAACGATTTTGGCTTGATGAGTAATCAGTGCAATAATTTTAAATCAAGAGGTATAATCATAATATCAAATGATTAAAGACTAACTAAAATTATATAAATGGATACCATAAATTCTAGATTACACCAACAAGACAGAAAAAAAATAAATGGCGGAAGAAGATATTAACCCTAATCCGGTTTACCTAGTTCCCGAGCTACTAGAAGAGATCTTCCTTCGACTGCCATTGAAATCCATCCTCAAATTCAAAACAGTCTCAAAACAATGGAGATCAATACTGGAGTCGAGGAGGTTCATGGAGAGGAGGCATATGATGACTGCTCAAGAGAAGCCCAAAATCATGGCGGCAGGAGACCGAAAGCGATTCTCATGGAGTTTCCAAGGAGACCAAGAGGTCGAGATGGTCTATTTACACTGCGATCTGGCCTCACGACCGTCGCTTTCATGTGACGGTCTGGTTTGCATCCCCGTACCAGGTTGGGTCAACGTTTTCAACCCTTCCACCGGCGAGTTTATTAGATTTCCTTCCGGCCCAGATCCAGTGAAAGCTGATATTGATTTCTTGGCTCCTTTATTTGAAGTCTTCCCTGGATTTTGGAGGATGGGATTTGGTCGAGACAGTGTCACTTGGAGCTATAAGATAGTGAGGATGTGCTTTACGAATGGTTGGAATATTTTGCGTTGCGAGATTCTTGATGTTAACATTGGTAGATGGTGCATATTGAGTCCACCTCCTTATGAGGTAGGATTCAAAAGGAAGTCCACCTGTGTGAATGGGTCCATCTACTGGGTGGAAGTAAATAAATTATATATAAATATTAAAAATATAATAAACAAACAAAATTACCTAAATTTATGAAGAACATGACAACTAAGCAAATTTGCTTCTTAAATAATAGTATAGATAGATAATTTAACAATATTTTTATAATGAACAGTTTAAAGAACGTATAAGAACTCCTAGTTTAGATATATAAATATCTGGCCAATGAAATGTATATGTGTAATCGAATATTGCAATATTTTTCTGTAGTTTATCTTGACGAGTGCTTGGTGTGGATGCTTCTAAAACAAAGTCACATTAGCTCCAATTTTATTTCAGCATATATGCGTTCAAGTCTATAAATTTTCTTTTAGTCAACGAGTTCCAAAACCGTTTACATGACCAAAATGTGTTTTCTTGGATGATTAAGACTACGCACATAACCGCCCTATTAAATGGTAACAAACGATCGATTGTTTTCAAAGTTATCAATGGAAGATGACAACAAAGGGTGGTGTTGACCACGTGAGAGTATGTATACACGTGATATATGTGATCTTTTGTCTCCAATTTCAACGATTTCAATCGTTTGTCTTCGTAGCTCCGATTGTTAACTTGGTTCGAGTTGTGTTGTTACGAGAGTTACCAAATATCAATTACAGTTGTGTTGATATTAAAATATCCTGGATTATTAATTTATCAAGTTCTATTAGCTCATTTCAAGCATAATCTGTTTTTCTTTTTTAAGATTTAGTGATTTTTCATTGAAAAAATGACTAGAATAGCACTAAAATTTTTTTTGTCACAAATATAGCACTTGAGAATAAAAATGATCAAAATAGCACTTAATGTTTTATTAAAAATATATTTTTACCCCTTGGGTTAACTAATCCTAAATTTTTTTGTTTAGAGTTGAGGAGTGGGTTTTTGGGGATAGGATTTCAAATTTTTAAAAATAGGAAAAACTTAAAATTTTCAAAATAAAAAATGCTATTTTGGTCCTTTTAATTTTTGAGATCTATTTTTGTAATAAAAACTTAAAAGAGTGCTATTTGAGAGAATTGCCATTTTTCATTTGCATGTCACAAATTACATGTCACTTGCTATTCCTTAGCTTAAGCGCATCTGTCAATACGACTCTGTCAACACAACTTTCGTGAGGAGGTAATTTCCTAACAGTGGTTGAGCAAATCGAGAGTTCTGAGTAGTGGCCATATTGCTCCCTTTACTTGGAAATTACAGTATCCTTGTCTATCAACATGACTTTGTCAATACGACGACTGCTTATTGATGTGCAAATGTGTTATGCTCCAAAAGCAAAACTTCAAATTCAAATTTAAAACTATTTGTATTTTATACTATAGTCATTATATTTGTGATAACTAGTTCAAATTCATAGAATTTTATAAATAATTAGCACATATATAAAAATATTACAGCAATATTAAATGATAAAATGTTACTCTAAAATATGAAATTATTAAGAGAAATATATAATTAAATATTAAACTATAAATATAAAATATCATATTAAGTCTTGTAATATTGTTGTTGTCTAGTTCTACTTTTTACTATTTTAAATCTTATCTTGTTATTTTTAATTAAAAATATGTGTAAAATTTAAATTTATAAAAAAAAATTGAAATACTTATGAGATGGTAACTTTTAAGGGTTAAAATGATAAACCATAAAATATATAATAATTATAAATATAATATATAATTGTAAGGACCCAAATGAAAATAAAAATATGAAACTTCAAATTTGAAATTTTGAATAATAACACTATATTTGAAGTTTCACAATTCAAAACTTCAAATTCGAAGTTTTAGAGTTTCTTTTTGGAAAACCAAAAGCTTCATATTTGGAGTTATAGAGTGTCTTTTGGAGATGTTTTTGATAGTTGTGTTTCGAATGTTGCACATATGAGTATATTATACCTATAGTCCATGTACTAGTTAATAATTAAAGACCTGTTTAAAATTCAATCAATACATACACACATTTATTTATAAAATATTTTTACAGAGATATGGCAGGCAGGCAGGTTTGCTATGAGTTTAAAGTAATTGCAAGGTTCTTCTGTCTGTCATCGGTGGTATTTGTGTCTTAGCTTTCTCAAGCTTTTGTTTCCGGACTGTGCTTATGTTGGTCTAGTCATTGGAACCATGCTTTGGAAAACCAATTTCTACCAAGCACATATTCATGGGGATGACAACAAAGTGTGGGATAGTTTCAACAACCGAGCATACTTTCGTCTTTCTTGTGCTCAAGCGTTACATTCTGTTTAGTTCACTTGTTGTTGCTTGTGCTTAGATTCTTGTGTTGTTTTTTTTAGGCGTCTTTGTTGTTTTACATTTTGGAACTTGTTTGCTCTGTATTTTCTGTCAAACAAATATTTGTATAATTTTTTGTATTAAAAATAAGATATTTATAAAATAGCTGAAACCATGATAAAACCAACTTAATCAGCTGAAAGTTTCTTAGACAGATTCCATTTCTATCACACATATATATGTATATATATATGTATTAAATCATCACTCCGACCCAAAATAGAACTGATGAATTAGTTTTCAATTCTGTAATATTTTTTTTAGATCCTCGATTTTTTATTGGCGAGGAATAAAATAATAATATTCTTCTTCTTTATTCTCCGGCCAGCTCTGTTAAAAAGATTGTTTTAGAAAAAGAAATAATTGAAACAGAGTATTTTCCTAATTAAAGTGGCAGACAGAATAAGCAAGAGTTAGTGATGACTTTTGTACATAAATTGAATTGGTTAGAAAAATGTTACAACTAATCCTTATTTGTTTGGATCCTAAAAACTAGTTTCCTTGTCGGCCCGTTTTCAGTAGAAATGAAAAAGCTCGAAGCTATACAAATCGTGTTGTTTGAAGCCCATTTCATATCATTATTCATAATCTGAATAAAAATTGATTCTCTTATCTAGGCCTTGGCGTATTATACTGAACCCGAACCGAATTCGCGAGTCCGGATCAATAAGGGATCCAAAAAAAATACCGAATGGGATTTAAGGCCCACCATTTTTGGACTACGGATCGGGCCGGTATTAAACCGAGATCCAGAGTAGGTAACCGTTAAGCCAAACATTTATAACATGTTTTCTATACAAACATTCATTATACACTTTCACATATATTGAGAATCCCTTCGGTTTCTTTACGTCGAAGACGAAGCATCTAACCTTAGTTACGAAAAAAAGTAATCTTGATTCTTGCTATTCATTATGATGCAGCTCAAATTGGCTACTATAAATCACATATCCTCTCCATCTCATGCTTCATCAGACCATTCGAGAATCAAATCAGAAGTATTGTGTCTCTCTTTCGTCGACTCTTGTTCTTCTTTATTACGAGTTAATTAGATTGAAATAAATCTTTGATTATACATCTCTAACGGCTTAGTGTAGTTTTAGATACGATTTGGTTTGTGGAACTGATTTTGTTTCAAGTTTGGATGTTTTGGAGTTGTTGTAACAGAGTTTACAATTTTAGAAATGAAATTGATTTGTGTTTTCGTTACTTTTCTTTTGCAGATGGACTCAACGTCAACTATTATCCTAGATAACAATAGAAGATATGATGATCAAGAAAATCAAACACCAACTATTGGGGGAACACCGACTAGTGGTGGTAAGAGAAAAGAAACTCCGCCAACTAGTGGCGGAGCATCATCTCAACCGAACAAAGTCAAGCGTATCCTCTCGACCCGATCAGATGTTTGGGAACATTACACAAGAACTACAGAAGATCGAGACAAGTGTGTATGCAACCACTGCAAGAACACATTCTCGTGTCTCACATCGTCAGGGACATCAAATCTTAGGAAGCATTGATATCACTCAAATGTTTAACCCTAAGGAGTGAATTACTCTCTCAAATAGGAGGTTCAATCGTAGTACTTAGGGATCGAATCCACAGAGACTCTAGAATTACACAACAGATTATTAAGTCTTCAAAATAAAGCTAGACAATAAGATTTTAAACAGTAACTTAAAAGATGGCAAATAAATGCTTGATTGATTGGTTGATTTGTTAAGAAGGAAGAAGGTAGTTAAACTTAGGTATTTATCAGGTATGACATACATGCAAGTTGTAAAGGGTTTTTATTATTCATAGTTCTAGATTCAAACTTTTAAGGAGGTTAAGGGTTAACTCCACTGGATCTCGGGTTAGGACTATCGTCCGATAACCTGAAGGGAATATCGATCGATGTTTCTATCGATACAATCGATCGATGTTTCTGTCGATACAATCGATCGATGCTAATGCCGCTATATCGGTCGACATGGCTGTCGCTGCGTCGATCGATATCGCATCCAGCGAGTGGTAGAGGTAAGTTTGAATGGGGTATCTAGTGTTGGTTAAGTGGGTTGTAACCCAGAAATTTGTGAATTATAAACTTGGATAATGATTGAATCGCGCACGAGGTCACTTTCCTTAAAGAGTATTTCGACCCTATTCCAAACCTTTGGGTTACACGAAATCCCTTTGTAGGATAAGACAATCAAAGTCTCACTCTTGTTCTAGGTTAAGATACAAGAGAAACAAAAAGAAGTTTTAGTGTTTATATGTGTTCTTCAAAGATCTTTGATGATCT